CAAGTTAAGAAGCTGGCAATTGGGATACAGAGAATAATTATGAGGTATGATTGAAATATATAGTAAATGTTTAAACTTTTAAAAATCCATTAAGGGCCAGGGATTTAGCTCAGTGGTTCCACTGCCTGCCCCGCTGCCCCAAGTTTGATCCCCTGTACCAAAAAAAATCCATTAAGAAAAAGACATGTTGCCATTAGTCTCCCTCAAATACTCCCTCTTGCTTTTTGAACACACTTATCTCATCATTCTTGCCACTTTCTGAAGCAGTTCTGGAGTCTTCTTTCCAGATTGTATTTAGTTGAGCTGTCATGTCTGCTTCAATGTCCTGAATTAATTCAAGCATTTCTCTTTCATGGTCATTTTGATTGAGGAACAGCCAGAAGTCACATGGTCCCAGCTCTGGTGAATAAAGTGGATGAGGACACAGCATCATGTTTTTATGAGCCTGTCTTTCTGTCGGACAGCTCTTGGCAGCAATATTCACCATATTTTTGACCACACCTCATGATAAAGAGGAGTTCCAGAACTGCTTCAGAAAATGAGAAGAACAATAGGCTAAGTGTGTTTAAAGCAAGAGGGAGTGTTGAGAGGCAGGTTAATGGCAGTATATCTTTTACTGTAATACATTTTTTAAAATGTAAACATTCACCATATACAGTATTTTGATTATCCCTAGTATGGTTAAGCATTTTTAGTGTATTTATTTTTCTGGACATTGAGAAGAGAAGAAAAGTATAAGCAGCATGTTTGGGGAGTATTCAGTCCCAATGTGGCATTAGGTGTCCAAAAATGGAGGGAGAGGAGTGTCCAGGAGGTACCAAATAACAGGCACAAGAAAGTGACTAGGAAGCAATGAGTGACTGGAGGCTTTCCGCGTCCTTAAGTCTGGTTGGTTGTTGTGTAAAAGGTATTTCTTTTTTTAAAATTTCCATATAAAGTGTCCAATAGCATGTGCTTGAGTTGTTTTGTAATGTTTCTCTCTTACTTTTAACATTCAAGCAGCTCATGTAGAGCCAACTTGACTTCCCCTTTCTGTCCCTGTAAGGTGAAGAAGTCACCTCAGACATCACAGGACTGTTTCATCTGCATTCAGTTTAGAGAGAGGCAGCAGAGTTGCTCATCTGTCCTGTGTTGAAGAACAGAATACAGAGGATGTTACTCTTCGTTATGCTTACAGGCCGTTATATTGTGTTAATCTGTCATATCTCACAGGAACTTTTTGCTCTCTCAGAGAAATAATTTCATTTTTCCTTCTTTTTTTGTGTCATTCACCATTGGGCATTGTTCTGTGGCAGGACCCAGGGCCAAGATGAGTCACTGTGCTCTTTTCAGACAAGAGAGGCTGGGCCATGCGGAGGAATGAAGCTGGTGGAATGGATAGGGTTGACAAGAGACACAGAGGAGAAGCTAGGAGGGCACCAAGCCGTGCTCTGTGGAAGAGTCCAAAGGTGGCTTGTTGCATCTTCAATTCAAGGGACACATAGCCAGAACCTCCTCCAGCCAAGGGGGGCGGTGTGAGAGGTTGTGTTTTTGTTTTTTAATTTCACAGGTGGTTTTGCACTTTGCTTTATTCCCTTGAAAAGCTGCAAATTATAGATTGAAACTTTAATAGTGCATTAGTAAAAAATTGGCTTCAGATGGTCTTTATGTTCCTGAAATTGGCTTTTATCCTGTTCAATGTCTGTAGAAGCCTATGCCTTAAGTCTTTCAAGAGGTCATATCCATGCTGTTGGCACTGCATAAAAGGCTTTGAGTCAGGGTGTTTTTTAAGGCATGGATGTATACATTAAAATGATCTGCTTTTACTCAGTTTTCTCCCCTCCACTTCTGCAGTGTGAACCCAGTGCACTCCCGCTGTGGAGATGTCCATGGGAATAGTAGGGGTGCTACTATTCCCTGTGGACACATTGGTCAGTGGTCATGTTTGCTGGGCCGGAGGGATGAGACACCTTGGTTACCAGTTCAGAGATGCCAGTGTGTAAAGACTTCACGCTGCAATGAAGTAGGAGAGGAGAGTTGAGCTCCTTCCTTCATTTTGTTAAGAGGAACTTGTCCTTCAACTTGAAAAACAGTCCCATACTTTGATCATGAAGCTCTCAATTCCATCAGGCAAAGAATGGAGGATTTTATCCTGGGATCATTCCTGATGCATTATTGACTGTGTCCCCACAGTTAAAATCATGTAAAAGTTTCTCTGTCCATTTTCCTTCTTAAGATGTCACTCAGCAACCATTGACTGGGCGCTTATTCCTCACAGACCCTTGCATAGTCTGCCTTCAGCAAGCTCAGAGTGCATTGGGGAGACAGAGAGGAAAAACTGGAGCATCATAACAGGACAGTGTGCTTGAGAACACAGTGACTGAAGAACGTGGTCATAGGAGAAATGTGATCATTGTAGGGAAGAAGCCTGTTTAGAGAGGAATCAATTCTGAAGGATCATTAGAGGGTACTTGGGCCTCATTGTATAGACAGAGAGGAAGAGTTGAATATGGTGAGCAAAGAGAGCCAGGATCACATTTACTCTTGGGACTGTTTCCTTATTGCATCTGAAGCAAGGCTACATAAATAGAGTCCCCCTGCCAGTGTCAAGAAAGGGTTCCTAGACAGGATGAGATAAACACACAAATTGAATGTAGGTTCTAGCCCACTGACAGAATAACTTTCTTCCTTGTATCAAATATTTTTAAATCTGAGCTGCTATGTAATGCATCTTTCCCTCATTTGTCCAGTATTTTTTTTGCATTATACTTCACAAAAGCATTGCTGTGTAATGGAATAAAAACCTTTAAAACTAAGCACTAGCTTTTATCTTAGAGAGTTTGGGAAACAGTGCTGTAGAGTGTGAACAAGTTGGGATGAGTCTGGAACTCGGAAAGCTGATTAACAGGTTGCTGTGAAACCTTGAGTAAGAGACTGAGAACCCAAGCTGATGAGCTGATGTGGGAGCAGCCAGCACGGGTGGAGGCAGGCACCAAGGGCTGGAGCAGACTAGGATGGAAAACCTGGCTCCTGCGCAGGACCATGGAGCCAGAGCAGGGTGGAAACTGGGAAGAAAGAAGCATCTAGAGGGCAAATGTGCTTTGGAGTCTGCTGGGAGTTGGCTCCTTGCCCTGTGCATTACTGTGGCTTCTCCATTCGTGTTTCAAAGAGATGTTTTATTTTTAATATAGTTATACATTTTTAATATTCTTACATATTTTATCGATTATTCCTATTTGATTATAAGATGAAAGAAGGTGTGTTAGGTATTTAGTACCTCACCTTGATGCAGAATCACTCTGTCATTTTCCCTAGACTTCAGTTGCTTCCATGGTACCTAAGGCCTGGCACTGGTAACTGCCAGCAATAACTGTTTACTACCAAACCAAGTCCAGAAAATATTCATATGTACTATATGACAGCTACATGAAGTCTACATGAAGTTCCATAATAGACCAAACTAGAGTTCAAACAAGTGGTTATTTCAGGTGGTTGCAAAAGGAATACTACACAGCAAGAAAAACGAGTGAAGTGGTGCTGTAGGCAGCAACATAGATGAATTTAGAAACAATGAGCAAGTGAAGGTAAATGTGGTAAGATATATAAAGTATGATTCATATAGATTTGAAAAGAAAGCAAAAATAATTCATGCTTTTGAAAGTCAGGATAATCTTACATTCAGGGAAGAGGTAGAAATAATGAATGGGGTTGCTGCTAGGCAGCTATGGCAAGTCACAGAGCTTTATTTTTTAATTTTGGAGTTGTTCCAGTGTTCAGTTGGCTGTAACTCATTCAGCTGTAAGATTATGTACAGTGCAATTTTCTCTGTACATATTATATGACAATACAAAGGCTATTATTTTCTAAGTATACTGATATCCTAACATAATAAGAAAGAATAGTAGCAGCATTAGTTTTAAATAAATTACTAAGCCACCTAAGTCTTGTAATTTTCTGATTGTTAGTTGTATTGCAAATAGACATTTTTCCATTCATAATGAAGTTATTAATTTTTATAAAGTATGTGTTTGTCTATTTATGTGTGTGTGTGTTACTGTACACAGAGGAGGAACAGTTAGATGACACACACCTGGTTAGGCTGCAGACCCCCACACATGCTCTGGGGCCATTGATTAACAGGTTATGAGCTCAGAACATTAGAGAATCAGGCACATGTGTTTGACAGGACCTATGGATACTCATATCATGTCCATCCCTCTCCATCCACCAAAAAACAAAAAAACAAAAAACTTAAAACTCTAGTGTTTCAAAGCAATGCCCAGTCTTTGTGAACTATAGAACTCTGCATTATATATGATGTGATGATTCTGCCTAGGCTTAAAAACTAAGGTAGGGTAGCATGGAATTACTCTTCGCTTTCCCGTGCCCAAGGAATGCAAGGAACATGGAGAAGTTCCTTCCCATAGAATTGTACACAATTTGGAAATTGTGTAGAAATAATTAGAGGCCAAGTTCTAAAATGGTTACTTAATATTCTCCAAAAAATAGCTTAAGTATGAAGAAAAAATGTGGTTGTTAGATTGTCGTGTATTACCAGATAAAATCATTCTAGTAGAGTGAATGTTTGTGGAATTCAGTTTATTTTGTAAGGTAGAAAGTAATATTACATTATGTGGTTTTTATTTGGTAAAATTTCTGTATAAAATGACTTTTCCCTCTGCTTTCTTTGTTTCACCTGTGTTAAAATCTTAACTTACCCAGAGAAGCCTGTCCTGACCCTATCCCCAAAGTGTAATTGGTTCCCCCATTATTCTCATGAAGAACTTAAAGTCACATTACTGAACATTGGCCCTGTTCACTGAATTTTAAGCTTAGTAAAGTCAGTGACATGTCTTTTATATTCATCACTACTAACCTCCATTTCCTTACACTGAGTAAGCATTCAGCAGGTATTTGTAGGGTAACTAAACCAACTGAATGTTTTGTAGTAAAACTATTTCATTTAGTTATAATTTTATGCCTGGGAAATTTGACTAACTTCTGTTTACATTTCTGTCTAGAATGTGGCAGATCAGATTGCATTTCAAGTTGCTGGTGGATTAACAGCCCTTGAACACATCCTTCAAGTGGCAGTCCCAGCCACCAACGTGAACACAGTTTCACGAATTCCTCCTAAGTAAGTATAGTTTTTTAATCTGTTTTTCACGTTTCATTTGTGAGTCATTCCTTCCCTATATGGCTTCCATATGCGACCACAAGAAAACTAGGCATATTCAGGTTGAATAACAAAAGTTTGCACCTCCCATTAGGGAGAAAATTGATCCTAAAATGCCTTATTAGGAAATCTCTTCAGTGTATAACCTGTGCTAATTTTAAATCAAGAAAAATTGATGAACTCCTGGGCAGTTCTGCTTCCAGAAATTGAAGAAAAATGAATAGTAGTAACAGAAAACGTTGGCTGTTGGCTTATAAAGAGGTGAACACATTAGCAAAGACCCCACACAGGAAGAGCATTCTGAGGCCAAGACTGCCATAGTCTGGAGTCCCAGCCAAATTGCCGCTAACTGAATTGCACTTTGGTCACTAACTGTAAAATGCTCTTTGTCATAAGGATCCTATACAGCGATCAGACCTAATCTCTGCTTTTCTGTCCTCTTGGGTCACCTTTCAGACCCTGGCCTCCTGGGATATAATAGCAGAGAGTGTTATTTCAGAAGTACTGTATTTCAAGGTAGAATATGCACAATTTCCGGGCACTTTGTGGAGACTCCTGTGTTGAGAATTCTAATGAGAAGTTTTGATCAAAGTTAATTTACACCACTGAGAAACCTTTTTACTACTTAGCACAATAAAGGAAATGTGTCGTTTGTCCACAGGATACAACAGGGGAAAAAATCCAAGCATTTATCTTTTTTCCTGAGAGACATTATGATGAAATAGAAATAGCACTTAATTTGAAGTCTTACAAACCTGGGTTCCAGTTTGACCTTAGTCTGTTATTAGCAAGGAGAATTTGGGCAAATGCTTTCCTCTCATTCAGTTTCCTCATTTGGAAAAATGTGAATCATACTCTACAGTGCTGCTAAGGGGATCAGTGAAGTAATCATGTGAGAGTTCTTTGTAGTGTTTCAGAAATGTTGGATGAGAGTTTTTAAATAGTACTCGTGCCTGACTCAAGACAGTGTAGTCTACTTAAGAAGAGATACGGACATTCCTGGTTTGATGACTGAGTTCTGTTCCTGTGACTGGGTCATTAACTGAAGTGGTCACTGAATGATGAATTGTATATAGTATGTACATTACGATATTCAGAACAAAAAATCAAAGGAAACTCCAACTTGACAACCTTGCTTTTTTTTGTATAACTCTTACATTCACTAGTGTAATGTATAAGAGAATATAAAACTATAGTATCGTACTATACAGTACAATCAGCAAAAACCACAGTGCTGTATAAACAAGGTGTACTATATAAAAAAAGACATTGAGGCTCCATCAACAAGATGTACAGAACTGTACAAAAAAAGGCAAGTCATAAGTCTGAACAGTTGTTAAACAGGTAGGTCATTAAACAAGAAACATCTGTATTTCCAAGTCCAAATTCTTTGAGTTCCTTTGCTCCACTGACAAAGTACATATGAAGGAAGGAAGGTGTAGATATCCTTCAAGCCATGGTATCTGCAGGCAGAAAGCTCCAGGTTCAGCAGCAAAAGGCAAGAGGAATTCTAGAACTACTGGAGATGTAAGCGTAGAATCAGAGCATGCTGGTGGACATAAGTCGGGAGATTAATTTAAAAACACTTTCATTTTCCTTCCAACTCCTCTTTGCATAAAGCCCTGTCCTGGCCTTGGGCTGCCCCTAGTACCTGGGTTCTCACTTCGCTCTCAACCTACCCAGACCTTCCTCCCATCCCTGAGGAAAGCTCACCCTCCAGCTCCATGAACCTTGGCCACCTTAAAACACTCTCCTTCCTGCCTCTTGTGGCATTTCAGGCTCTTACTGAGAAAACTGGTTAGAATATGCTACATCATTTAATTTTCCTCAGTGATAAACAGCAGAGGCTTTGAGAAGTATAAGCCAGTGTCTTAATGTTGACATTGTAAGTCTTATGATGCAAGCCGGATGCAGCTCTGAGCACTGTGTGAATGAATAAACCAGCTCCCTGTCCATCTTCTCACCACTCTGCCTGACTCTGTTTGCACTTCACACAGTGCCTCAGGAGTTAGATTTCCTGCTTTGTCTTGTGATTACTGCAAGACTACTTCCTATGAATGAACATATGCTCCTAGCACTTTTTTAAGCATGAAAATAAGAATCGTACTGCTTTTGAAAACTTAAATTTTTAAAACTTTTCCAAATCCTCAGTGGGTTGTTTTGCTTTTACCGGAAGCAGAGATAGCCCATACAGCTGCTTAGTCCTTTTCATGTTGTTATTGAAAGACTTAGGATGCAGTATCCAAAGCCAACCTTCCTAATAAATATGCTCCAGTAAAATTGTTTGCCAGGCTGAGAAAGCTCACCCTGGAACAAAGGAATTTTCATTCCATGTTGTATCTTCTTTTGGGAAGACTCATGTTATTCTGCCTCCAAACTTTGATCACAGAAAATGAATACAAATGAATGGATAACATACGCTAGCCCTTTTTTCTGCTTAGACAAATAAGTTACTTATCATAGCTTTTAATATTTGAAAATAAAGGTGGCTTGCCATTTTCTTTGGGCTTAAATAACACCCCATGTAATGTAAATAAGAGAGTGGATTTGCTCTGGATGAGAGCTTTGTTGTGCTTTATAACATGTTCATATGCTGTAGTACCAATGGGAAACAGTGTGAGAGTCAGCACTCTCTGACACCACACCTACCCATGTCTTTCCAGCAGCAGTAAGAGCTCAGCAGGAATGGCCCCTGGGCTTAGCCTTCCCCGTGTCACCTTTTCCTACTTGGTATTCATAGTTCCTGACACTCTGGGATAACACAAAAGCTTGGGAGTTAACTCTATAGCTCCATAAGTTTGTTCTCTCAGGGCACTTACCATGTTTCTTCTCATAGTAGACTTGTCTGTATGAAGCAAACAAAAGCATGGTATAATGGAAAATAAATCAGACCCTGCTTAAACTTATGCTTTTCATGTCTTAGCTGTGTGACCATGGTCTAAATTACTTAATATAACAGAGCCTCAATTAAATAACAAAACTAATACTTACCTTGTAGGACTGTGATGAGGATTTAAAGTGCATGTCTTCACTAAGTCGCTTCATAAAGATAGCGCTTAGTTGTTACCAGTTTTATTGTAGTTATTGTTTTGACTCCTCATTACACTGCCTCTCACTGATCTTTCGATCCCTGTGTTTGTCACTTTGGCATCTGAGAAGCTATAACCTATTAATTTTATTTGAACTTTTTTGTTCTAAATCTGAACTTCATCCTAGGAATTTTTGCCTACTCAGTTAAGATCTTTTGATTGTGAATTGGCCCCTAATTTAGTTTCTTTTTCTTTAATTTGTGCCAGTCCTAAAGTTCCATAGAACATATGTGTCTTCATCTCATCATTGAAAAAGCATCAGATAGGTCAGAGAAGAGCTCTGTTTAGCAGTGTGGTGTCTACTGTCTTGCCAGTTTCTCCATTTGTGGTACTGTAGGCTCCCCAGCTAGATCATAATTACTTGGAATCAAGAGACATAGTAAATGCATCATTTGTAAGTCATATGACATCTTACAGTTGTTTAAATACATGAATACGTTCTTCCTCCAGTATGTGAAAACAGCGAAAAAATATATCCATTTCAGTGACCACATCACAGCTTAGTAGGGCCCTCCTGATTTCAACCACACTGTTACTTAAAGTTTAGACAATGGGTGTAGGGGGATTGTCTTTAAATTTTTGCAAATATATATATGTATCATATACACAATCCTGCTACCTACTCAAAAAGCCAAAGAGAATTCTAAAATTGTATTTATCATTGTCCTTATCACAACTTTAGAATCAGAGCAGACTTAATAGGTATAAAATTGACCCAATTTAGTCTATGAGGAAAACTATCTGCTTCTATTGCTGTGACCTTTATAAAGGATACCTATTTATTCGTATTAGTAAAGGTATTTATTACTTCATTACAGTCTGTTCATTTATCTGATGGTAGTAAATCAGTACTATCCAGGTAAAGCAGTAGTCATTAAATATAATAATTTTTAAAAACTCTTAGAATGACATGAAGTAGAGCTATCATAACTAGGAAGATAATTTATAAGGTATCACAGATTCTTCAACATTAACTAGAACTCATGACATTATGCAGTTTATCTGTTTTGTAACATTGAACTATGTGGTCTTTGAATTGATGAGACAGAAGCTGGCACTTATGAGTGTTCTCGGTGTCCAGCACTGTGCCAGATATTCTACACACATTACCCTCTTTACCCCCCAGTCTAGTACATGCTGGCCTCTGCTAGGTGAGCCTTGGGAAGACTGCTATCTGGAGTGTGACTGCAACTTGAGAGAACCATGCTATTCCTTTTGAAAGAATGTTTGTTCTTTCCATATGGCAGAAAGAATGTCAGCATAATTCTCCTGTGACTGTTGATTTTGTCCCCAAAACCTTATGTGGCCTTCTTTTGGGCCCGTGAAGACAGACACATTTCATCTTATAGTGGAAAAGAGTTTATAATGCCATTGTGTTCCAGAAGCATGTAAATAATCTAGGGCTCTAGTCCTGATGCTCACAGAAACTAGGGATTTCCTGCTTGGGATCATTTATATGCCTGTGTGGGGATGGAAACAAGACTGAAATGAAGCCTGTCTTAGGGAACTTACAGTCATGGAAAAAGAGATATACTAAACTCTGAATATCACTAATAGTGGCCTGCCTCTCACCTTTACAGAACAGATGCCCTGGTGGCACACACAAGGCTCTTGATAGAAGGAATGTTTTGCTGCATGTCCTAAGTCTGTAAACTTCATTCCCTGAGATGCCTGGCCTTGCCTGCTTCTCTGTGATGCCAGTCTCTTGACTCATGGATCTATTCTCTTTGGGGCTTATCTACTGTCAAATCTGTGCTTTGTCTGCACTTTACAGCACAATCCAGACTCTCCCAGTTGTCACTATGAGCTTCCTTCCCGGTTACCCTTTCTCCTCTTCTCTTGGCTTGCTGTAATCACTGCAGCACCCTTTCT